GGGGCACGTTTTGTTTTGACAGTGTCTTTACTTACAGATTGTTGTTCCCCGTTTTCAGTTTTTTAGCTGAATTTTTGAGAATTCTCTGTCTAGGTTGGGATATATACATGCTATCCTCTTTCCTCATCACAATTTTTTATCTGATGTTGTTTGTTCTCACGGATTTCTTATAAAGTTGGTCTGGTTTTTACAAATTCCCTTAACTTCACTCTATCTGGAAATGTCCAAATTTCCCCATTGTATTTGAGAGACTATTTTACTGGATATATAGTTATTTTTTTTAAATCATTTTATTGAGAGCTCTTACAGATATCGTAACATTCCACGGTTTAATCACATCAAGCAGTATTATAAAATTGCTACCACAATCAGTTTCAAAATATTTTCTTTTTTCTTGCACGCCTTGTGGATATATAATTCCTGACTGGCTTCTTCGTTGTTTGATGTTGCCTTCAGAATGTTGTGCATATCACCCACTGCCTTTTTGCCTGATTCTTTCGGCTAAGGGATCAGAGTTTAGTCTTTGTTGGTTTTTCTCTTGTAGGCGATTTTTCCGTTTTTCTGAGAATCCCTCAGGTTTGCAGGGTTCTTTGTCTTTGGTTCTGACAAGTTTGATTATAATGCCTTGTTGAGTTTCTTTTGAGTCTATGTAGCTGGAGTTTGTTGAACTAATTGATGAATATTTTCTTGTCTTTTATTCTATTAGGGAAGTTCTCCCCCAGGAAATCTTTGATAACTCTCTTTTTGTGTAGGTTTTTGTTTGTTGGTTTGTTTCCTGCTTTGAAATTCTGTTTATGTGTGAAATATTCATTTTTTTTAGGACTCCACATAATTCTTAGGTTTTCTTCATTCTTTTTTCTAATTTTTCCAGAAACAAATTCGTGTCAAGGAATGTGTTGGCCACTTCGCTTATTCTGTCTTCCATTGATTCAGCTTTCTCCTTTGCCCTTCTATTGAGTTAGAATTTTCTGAGATTTTTATGATTACTCTTTTGGATTTCTGGTTGCTGTTTTCATATGATTTTGAATTGTCTATTTTGTCATTTGATCTTGTGTATTTTTCTTGAGTTCTACTGTTGTCTTGTCTGTGCTTTCCCCAACCTCTTGCTGAATTTCTTGGAGAACCCTATATATTAGTCTTTAGAATTTCTTGAAAGGTAGTTCCACCGCACTTTTTCCTCCAGGAGGTTTTCTAGTTCTTTATTTTGATCCGTTTCTGGACCCAGCTTATCTTGCTTCTTCAAGTGGTTTTATGGTGTCTGTTGGTTTTGAGGCATTAAGGTGTTTCTTTTGACATATCTGAGTAGCAGAGCATGAGCGCTGCTCTGTTTGCACTGAGGCTCTTTCCGTCGGCTCTTGGTGGGTGTGGCAGTGGCTGAGTGTGTGAGTACAGGTCTCTTTTCACTTGTCTTGCACGATGGCTGAAGATAGAGCTGACATTGCTGGTGAGGTGATTTGTCTGTGTGGCAGGTCTGTCTGTCTGGGCATGGGTACTAGTGTCTGGATTGGGTGTTGTGTATGCACACTGTCACTTGCCAGGTAGTCCGAGCAGGGCCAGTCACTGGGTGGGAGTATGGAAACTCTTACCAGTGGTCCCAGGTGAGCAAGACGATGAAGGGGTGGTCAGAGTAGGCACCAGTGTCCTTTTTCAGGGGAAAAGCAGCAGGGATGCTATGAGTCCAGGGATGCCTACGAGGGGGCCATTCTCATGCCTACTAGAGTGTGATGCAGGAGAGGTATAAGGTATACCACCAATCCTCAGGGCTTCCCCAGGCAGGAGGAAGAAATAGTTAGTGCCGTTAGTCTGTGGACCCCCAGCATTGGTGATGACAGCTAGAAGCAGACA